GGGATCCCTCAACCAAGTTCTGAGATGGTCTATGCCTCCTTCAGGATACAGATTTCGATGGCCATTGTGACCTCTGTGATGATACCGATCATTATGCATTGTCAATCGTCTGTGTGGTACCCAACTGCGGTCATGCCATGCATATCCATTGCGCTTTGCTATCTCTGCCAGAAACCATCGAGCATAAGCGGTACAGTCATCCACTCATCCTCTCACATGATGTGGTTGGAATCGAAAGACAGAACGGATGAATATACTGCGATTCTTGTGAGAAAAGGAGAGAGTTGAAGCATCCTGTCTATTACTGCAAGGAATGTGTTTTATCACCCACATTAGTTGCTTCGCCTCTGAGGTATGCGCATTGCGATGCCTTGAATCACACATTATTTGTTCAATATCAAAATGCAGAGAGATTCCTTCCATTTCACTAATTTTAACGGCCGTATATCGATACCTGCACTACTAGGTGGTACCTTCCCTACTTGCTCAGTATGAGGTTATATGAACCCCGAGGATCGGGTTTCAGATCTGTATCTTGAAAGAATAGACGAGGAGTTCAAGACTCTACAAGTATGGAAAAAGGAAGATGAACATGCTCGGTATGCCGAATCTAGCATGGAGAGCTACTCGTCAGTGTGATTGCCGAGCACAGTTGGATCGAAGGAACTAGCCAAGATAACTCCCATGTCGTATCGAATGGAAGTAGTCATAGAGTGCTGTCAAGAGGTGTTCATTGCAACTGATACATATATAAGTACCACGAGTAGTTCTAGTTGTCTCGCGAGTGCAGCGCGAAAGCAAGTCACAAAGCTGCGATGTTCGAGCTAGAACCAGAGAATAGAAGGTGTCGATCGGGGATCGAATATATTCTACAAGCATAGGTTGAACTGGATATATAGCTTTTCCTTTTGAACCAGATCCGCGAAATGCTACTACGAAGAATGCCAATGAAAGCAAGTACGCCCATAACCAGATTGAATCGCTTGCAAATCAATTTCATTATGGTTTTGTGTTCGCCTTTACAGAAACTGTGTTAGTCCCTCGGTCCCATTTTCTCAAGTATCACGTCTGGGGAAGTTAAGTAAAAAGAACGGTCTACTTATCTAGCGTTTGTGAAAAATCAAAAGATGAAATAAAGAGAATGGTTGAATATAAAGCCAATGGTAAATGAAGAAAAAAGTGCAAAAAGAGTGGAGTTGGTGGAAATTGAAAGCCCATGCATGTTTTATATGCTATCTCTCTAGGTTTGAAAGCCCTACTTTCATATTATAGGCAGATATTGTGTAGTTGCTATACTATTAGTAACGGCGAAATTATCCAATCACTCATAGACCTATTTACAGATACTAATTCAGTCATAAATTTTTCAACTTTTCCAATTGATTCATAAACCTTTACACGAAATTACAATATAGTCTTTTCGGCAAATTTTCACTGAAAATCTTTGATGTTGCGGTGTGCCACGTAGGATGGTTGGCGATGACTAGATCACCACGTCAATAATTTCCTTCGAATTAACCGGAATATTGCATTAGAATTTCATGAATGACTAAATAATAAAATTGGAAAGTTTAGGATTGAATTGGTATTCATACTATATGTTTAGGATTGGTTGGATAATTTTCTCTAGTAGCAATAGTAGTAGTAGAAGGAGCTGAGAAGGAGGAGTAATTGGAATTGGAAGGAGTAGTAATTTTATAAAAAGAGCAATTTTGGAAAAGGAAAAATCTGAAAATAGTGTTAATCTTCATGTTTCATTAAAAACAAAAAATAGAATGTAGGCCTTGTTTAGAAACTTTTGCAATTAGTACTAAGAAGGGCAATCTTAAAAATAATCTTGGGTGTATTTTTTTTGCAAAAAACTTCATGATAAAATAAAATATGTTTCGGAAAATGCTTTTGCAGGAAATATTTTCACCTTTTCTGGTTAGGAAATTCATTTTCTTAAATTTAAACATGCATATTTTCATTAACTGTAAATAGTTTTCCGTCGACTGATCATTTTCAGTAAACCAAATGTGTAAAAATTATTTTACTCAAACAAACACTTTTTTTTTGTCTTAATGTTTTAAACAATAAAGAATATACATTAATAGGTAGCAACAGTGTTATCCTACGAGCATGAGGAAATTAACGAACCAGATTCAAAGGATTAGTGCATCATTCAAGGCAGGATAAGAACTTCACAGATCACGAAACAACTCGAGGTCTTAATAAATCTAGCATTTCCCTCAAGAGAGAGGCCTCCTCAACCGCCCTCTATTCCTAGGATATATTATTACATATCGTATCTTGTAGCTAGGATTTGTTACATTCTCTCCTTTCGACGTCTCGTTCATCGAAGAACGGATGCAAAGGGGGTCGGTCGGTATGGGCTATGGCTACCCTCAACAATCCTGAAATGTCCTTGTCCTTGAGGTGAAGTATGAGCAACAGTGAAGCAACTTTGCTAGGTGATGAATAATGACTATGAAAGCAGGGTTGCCCCCTCCTCTACCAATTGTAATGGACATGTAAAAAGTGAGCTCTCTCTTTTTGTCCTTATAAAGGTAAGAAATTTTACAGCTTCTTCTATCATATAATGCCAGCCGGAATTTGCTATTACAGCTTTAGGGTTTCCTTCTTCATCTTCTCCTTTTTTCTGGCCTTAAAAACTTTATGTTGAAAACGAAAGGGAAAATGACACAAACAGTTTCTGAATTTTGGCTCAATGTGTAATGTGATCCCTAAACTTTTAATTTATTCAATGTAATCCCTGAACTTTAATCCAATGTGCAATGTGATCCATGAACTTTTGACTTGCTCAATGTCATCCTTGAACTTTTGGTACATGTTCAATTTAGTCATTGAGTTACATGAAAATGTTTAATATAGTCCTTTCATTAATTCAAGTTCAGGGACTATATTGAACATTTCATATAATTCAAGGACTACATTAAACATGTACCAAAAGTTCAGAGACCACATTGAACAGGTTAAAAGTTCAAGGACCATATTGAACATTAGGCTAAAGTTTAGGGACTGAAGTTCAGGAACAAAATTGTACATTTGGCCAAAATTTAGGGACTATTTGTGTCAATATCCCAAAAAGAAAACCAAACTTTCAAAAGACAACGAAGTTTTTTAACCAAAAATTAAAAAAAAAAAGACAATAAAGTTTAGTTCTAGGAAAAGTACAAAAAAAGTCTTAAACTTATTACATTGAAACTTATTTAGTCATAAACCTTTTAATTGGACCAATTAATTTCTAAACATTTTCATATTGATATCAATTGAGTCTATCCGATCAATTTAGGCTGGAAATTGCTGACGTAAACGCTTGTGATCCTACGTGGCACAATCGGCGCTGACGTTGGTAATTTTCTATAAAAAATTTGAAATTTTTTATTAATTTTTCTTTTATTTTCTTTCTTTCTTTTTCTTCCTTCCTCTTTTTTTCTTTCTTCCTTATTTCCCTCCGTCTGTTGCCAACCTCGTGATGGCCGGAGTGGCTGAGGGCTGGGACGCCTTGCTAGCCACAAGCGAGTCGACCCTTGCTAGCCTTTGGCAAGGGCTGATGAGGGCTAGGCGAGGACCGCCGATCGGTAGGATTGCCTGGTTCCTCAAGGCCAATAAGTACGCCGAGCGCGTCTGTGCTGAAGCTCCAGTCTACTTCTCCACTGTCTTGAGTATCTCTCCGTTGAGGTTCAATTATTTTTGGTTTTTTTTTTTGGCGTGGGGGGCAGGGGGGGTTTACTTGGCTTGATTGGCGTTGTGGTTGTTTTTTTAAAAGGCACGAATGATAACCATTTTATTCCAGAAATGGACAATGGGCAAGCGACAGAGGACAGCAACCGGCGGCGAGAGGCGGCTGGCGAGTGGAGGTAGGCAGGCGACAAAGGATGGCGGGCAGTGGCAAGAGGCAACAGGTGTCGAGTGGCGGCGAGAGGCAACTGGCGGGTGGAGGAGGGTAGGCGGTGAAGGACCGTGGGTGGTGGCAAGAGGCGACGGGTGTCGAACGGCAGCGGAGGACGGCAATGGGAGGCGGCCGGCGTTGGGTAGCAGCAAATGAAGTTGGCAGGCAACGGAGGATAGCGGCGAGAGGTGGGCGGCCGATTAGTAGAAAGGACGAGTGATGAGAAAAGTTTTTATTTCTCATTTCTGTTTCAGAAATATAAAAGTGGAAAGTTTTTACTTCTGATTTTTGTTTCAAACCTATTTCTAGAGTAAAAATTTATTCCATAAATAGAAAAATGAAATTGCGTTACCAAACGGACTTTTGTTCCAAATCTGTTCCCGGAAATAGAAATATAAAAAAAAATAGAGAAACAAAATGGTTATTATGTGCGCCTAAATTTCTTGAATGTGTACCGAATATAATGTGTGCTTTTTGTGATGGGTTTAATGAAGCCATTCGGTTTTGGGCCACCTCGCCGGCCAAAGGAAGAAGGGAAGAAAAAAAATTAAAAAAAATCGAAAAAATATTAAAATATTATTAAAAATCATCCACGTTAGCATCGCCTGCAACACGTAGGACGGCCGACGTCCATGTTAGCATTTTTCGGCTCAAATTGATCGGATGGATTCAATTGGCACAAACGCAAAAAATTTAAGACTTAATTAATAAAAAAAAATATTTATAATTGAATTGGGAGAATAATTTTAGGGATTTTTGATAAGCGCCCCTCTTCATTGCGAGATCAGTTCCTCAATCAGGTCAAATCACTGATCCTTGTGAACCGCGCCCCCCGCCCCCCTCCCCCCCCCTTCCTTCCTCTCGGTCGGTCGTCCCCCATCTACATATTTTTAGGGTTCAGAACTAGGGGGCACATCATGAATGCTTCTTGTAGAGAAAGGACCAGTTTCTTGATCCTTTTTCTTTCAGAGTAATTAACCTACGTGAACAAAAGGTGATAGTAAGATGTACCCTGAATACCGGATCCGTTAACGGTTGGGCTTTGTTGAGACATTCGTAGAGACATTCGAGCCCGACACGGAGGATGGTTGTCCTCTGCCATGAACCTCCCTAGACTCGTGAAGAACACTATATAAAGGGGCAGCTCCTCATGTTTACCAACCATCCACAAACCAACTTTTTAAATCCCTCATTTCCTTAAACCCCATCTTTGATCTCTCAGCACAGTGCAAAAGCTAGCATGGATCCTCGCCAAACCCAATCGATCACGACACCCGCCGAGGACGAGGAGCTCGTGGCTGCCTTCGAGACGTGCATCATCACGTCCGTCCCCATGGTGTTGACATCTGCCATCGAGCTCGGGATCATCGACTTGCTAGCCCGGGAAGGCGGGGCCTCCGCCCGGCTCTCGCCATCCCAGATCGTGGCCTGCCTCGGGATTTCCAACCCGGAGGCCCCACGCACCATTGACCGCATGCTGCGGCTCCTCGCGAGCTTCTCCTACTTGTCGTGCACCCTCGACGGTGATCAGAGGCTGTACGGCATCGGGCCAAAGGGCAAGTACTTTGTGAGCAGCGAAGCCGGTTCTTTCGCGCCCTTGCTGCGATTCCTCCAACATAAGACAGTCATCGATGGCTGGTTTGTGCTCATTCTTTCTTTCGTCAAAGTTTGTAACTCGCTATAACTTAGCACGTATCACAAATTAAAGTATCGCATTTTCGAGTTAAAAAACCACACTGATTACATAAGTATAAGTTTTCTTCACTTCTTCAAGAAGATGATCAATTAGGAATCATTCAACATTATAAGCATCGCTACCATGGTTCTTTATCTCGGTTCGTTCATCGGACACCAGCTGCACCTTAGCCATATATACTCATTTACAGTTCACATAATTTAGTACTTTCAAAACAACCTCGCTTGTCAAATACATTTCTACACTTATTGTTGTGCAGGTATGGGCTGCAAGAAGCAGTTAAAAATGGAGGAAGCCCCTTCCAGAATGCAAATCAGATGAGCATCTTCGATTGCGCTGTGAAGGACCCGGCGTTCAGCGCGCTCTTGAACAACGGGATGAAAGGCCCGACCCCCCTATTCATGAACAAGATCCTCGAGTCGTACCGCGGGTTCGAGGGCGCGAAGACGGTCGTCGACGTGGGCGGCGGCGTCGGCGAGAGCCTCCGGCTCATATTGAACAAGTTCCCAAATCTCAGGGGCATTAACTATGATCTGCCTCATGTGGTCAAGGATGCACCCACCCATCCTCGTAAAATCTCTCTCTCTTTCATTTTTATTTTCGTCTAGAGAGTGAAAAATAATATTGATATATGATTTTCTCCTTCCAAAGGCATGTAGATATAATGCAATTTTTTATTCTTTAACAGGTATGGAACATGTTGGAGGAGACTTGTCAAAGTTTATTCCAAAGGCAGACATCCTCTTCATGAAGGTTATCCTCAAATTCTTCCCACCCTCGTAATTTGCACAACCTGTCTTAGATTGAGGAGATACCATGGACGTATTTTCTTCATGCAAGTTTAGTGATAATTTGTCATCACTACCTAATGTTAGAGAAATCTCCTATGCAAACTCCGTACCAGATGTGTATGGATACGGTAAAGATGTTTTTAAATAAGATAGGGTTGGTATTTCACAAAAAATATGAAGAATCAAAATCTCGGATCCAAATTAGAAAAGGCGGCACTCAATTCCGGGGGTGGAGCACCCAGTTTTATTTCCGAAAAGAGGTGTCTATAAAATATGAAAAACATATACCACTTTTGATCTAATTTTTACTTACATACCTCTATTTTCGCAAATACTATTCACGTACCATTAAGCAAGACCTCTAGTTGAAAGACTAAATCACCCTTTCTTGCAAACTCATTTTAGTTTATTGTTTAAGATTTGGGTGATTTGGTTTTTAGTTGGTTTTGAGTGTTTTAAGTGGGTGCGAGAATTTATGATTTGGACATGGACATTTTTTTAAAAGAAAGTAAACCATTTCCGCAATTTGGGACATAAGGATAAAATTGATGTAACAATACATAGTGGTCTCCAAAGTTAAAATTCATGTTTGGATTTGATATTTTAAAAAATAAAGGTATGTATGTACTCATTTGATGAAAAGCTAGATATGTTTTTGGTATTTTTCGTAGAATTCTGCTAATTTTTAAACTCAGATTTCTTGTTAGGATTGGATGGTGATGGACATGTCGTTGTTCACAATGCATTTACACTCATCTTTTTTGTGATGATTATTGTACATCTATTCTTTCATGTTTAGACCCACCATATATTGGGTTGTTGAATTTTGTTCTTGCGCAGTGGCTTTTCCATGGTCGACCCGACGATTTCTGCAAGAAGCTACTCAAGAACTGTCATGATGCGTTGCCACCAAACGGCAAGGTGGTCATCATAGACCCGATCCTTCCCGATAATCCTGAGACCGACATCGTGTCAAGGAACACGTTCACCTCCGACATGATCATGCTAGGCGCAAGCCCCGGAGGGGTCGACCGGACAAGGAAAGAGCTGGAGGTGCTTGCACTGTCAGCCGGATTTGATAAGCCGAGAGTCCCGTGCCGAGCTTACAACATGTGGGTGGTGGAGCTTCACAAAAAGAAGTAATAGCTCTCGAGTCGCTCTCGAGGCGCCGATCATAATTGCTTAATTTTTAGATTTCTCATGCGCAGAAAAAGAACAAAAAAGACGAGTGACCCAGAAAATAAAAGCAATCTTCTCGTGAAGAACAGTGTGGTACTATCCTTGAAATTCAATAAAACAGAGTGATCGTTCGTGTCTCCATGAGTGCTTCCTCGTTTCCTTTTCATTTTCATCCATTGATTTGCGGCATCATAATATGATACAAGGGCGAGAAAAGACGAAGTGAAGTGAAGGCGGTAGCTTTCGATGACATTTACAAATGGTCGGACACCAAAGAAAGAGCGAGAGAGATCGAAAAATATGAACCACGAATGACGTATCAACGACATTAAATTGCTCTACTCGTTGAAAACAGAGTTAAAGACAGATAGAGAAGCTACTTCCTTATGCTCTTGAACGAAATCTAGGAGGAAAATAGCTCATCACGGGTGTTGTGTGATTACAAAGAGTGCAAAATTTACTCGTTCGATCAATGGATATAGGGGGAAAAAAAAAGCTTTTTATGCTTTGAAAAGGATGAATGGAAGAGCAAATGATCTTCGAATTGGATTACTTAACATCCGAAATTGTGTCTACCACAGGGACGATAAAGCCGATGAGTCATATAATGAAAGCTTGGGGAAAGAATAATCGAGCACGGGTTAAGGCAAGAAACACGTATCGGAAAACAAATATTTGTTTGCCAAGAGGGCCTTCGGGTGCTCTAAAATAAAGAGATGTCAATGAAGAATAGGGAATGACGTACGCTGTATGACTTAGATCAAACAAAATCTAGAAAGTAAAATATCAAGGGGCAACGACAGACTAAAAAGACGCGAAGAAGACGTTAAGGATAGATATAGAGCAATATGAACTTACGAAAGACATTGTAAGGAGGTAACATGCAAAGACCTGGGACTAATCGAAGTGAGAGTGTAGACAGCAAGCATGCATTAGCTACATAAAGCACAGATGATGACCAATCAATCCTTTTGAAGAAAGGGAGCGAGGAAATACTGTTAAATTCTATATATGCGAGAAGTACAAGAAGGCGTTGAGCTTTTGTTATTCTTCATTCTCTTATAGACATTAGGACCAACGAGTTCGGTTTGAATAAATAAAAAAAATCACTGAACTGAACGCAAGTAAACCGGACCAGGAACACTCCAAACTACATTATGTCAGGGAATGAAATCTTCTCATTAGCTCTTTCTCAATTCTTGAATTCTTGCCTTGTTATTATGCATGTAAGCTAAATGCGTTGCTGGACAGACTTTGCAAAGATCAGTAATACAGCAACCGGAATAGGCAACAAGAAGTGGCAATAAGCTTTCCAAAAAAACAAAGTAAGACAGGAAAGGGAAATGCTAACCAGACAGGAACTTGATAATGAGAATTATATCAAACTTCGCAAACTCATTGTCCAAAGCACAAGAACCCTGATGATCATATATGCACACAAGCCTCTCAAATCACCTCCAGAAAGGAAGTAAAATGAGTACCACAAAGAAAGCCAAAAGAAGACTCGTTTATGCACACAAGCCTCTCATATCACCTCCAGAAAGGAAGTAATTGAGCAACACAAAGAAAGCCAAAAGAAGACTCGTTTACCAAAAACTTCAAAAATACTTTTTACACTTGAAAAATAGCAAAAAATTCTATTGGGAGAGAGGCCACAGATCACATTCTTTCAAGAGCAATACCTGAAAATTTTCCAAACTGCTTCTCCTGATGATGATTGGATGGGTTTGCAGGGGACTGCCAAGGAAAAAACACTGGAACCGAACACTCTTACACAGACTAATGCAGCATTAGGCACAGCTTCAACTCCATTAAAGTCTCCATTCAACCACAATTTCACGGTTCATCTTCCAGAAGCAGCAAATTTTTTCCACGCTTGATGTCTGTGCAATCTTACAAGTTCAATACACATTAAGAGTTCAGCTGATACATGGACATTCCACAATAAGCTAGAAGCCGAGAGGAAAGAAACTAACATTTATTTCAAAATCAAAGGACACACACATGAAAAAGGCAAATAAATGGAAAATAAGTGGAAAGAAAGAAGTCGTCTTTTGTCTATGTGTCCGGTGAAGAAGAAAAAGGCTGTATGAAATTGAACGCCTAGAGGGTATTAAGTGATGAACCTTCGACGAGTACCTTTTTTCAAAGCTTTTTCTTTTTGTTCATCCTCATTCTTCCATTCGCTCTCGTTCTCGTCATCTTCATCCATTTCATCTCTTCCATCATCTGCAATATCACTTTCACTGGCTGTCTCCCATTCAGAATCATCAGATTCTTGACCGTAGATGGCATGGGAATCACCCTCACCACGGACACCTCCATGTTTAGTTGCTGCTTCCCTAAATAACCAAGCTGCACGCATCTGCTTCTTGACCAATCTCTCAGCATAGTCAGGAACCTTATTTTGCCTCAATGACAGATCTGGATCATTAGACTGAGAGCACTCATTTATGAACAAAATTGCATCTAATAAGCTTTCTTTAGCTAAGCCAAGCATGTCATAAGCTTGCGCTCTCCTCCAGAGACTTTTAGCATGACGATTAAGAGGGGTGTGAAGGCCAAGTGCACGTGTCGCATCACTTATGGCAGCTAAAGGTTGTTGCAACAGAAGATAACATTGCGCTCGGTTACTGTAAAGGACTGCTCTCTCTCTTTTAGACCTCATTGGACATAGTGCCAATGCTTCTGAGTACTTTGAAGCTGCTCCAGCTATATCCCCTGATGAGAACAGTGAATTTCCTTCAAGCTTAACCACCAGACTGGCAGCTTGCTTAATATGGAGATCCTCTTTAGGCATATTTTTCTCCCATTTCAGTCTCTGTCGGGAACTTAAGAGATCATCAATGTGTTCCTTTGTGCGACTGTTGAGAGAATTGGGACCTGTGGCTTGCAATTGGATACATTCCTCAAGAACATTGACGATTGAATCTCCAAGTTTTTTGTGATCACCAAGAGCAGTAATTTCTGAAAGATCTACTAGTGCAGGTACTGCTTCGTCAACCGCCTACAGAACAGATCAGAAGAATTTAACTACAGAACTTAAACAGGCATTCATAGATAAAACATTTCTGGCGAATCCTGCATTCGGATAAATTCATATAGGACAAGAAGCAGAGTCTGATCAAGATATATAAATCTGCCACTAAAATTAAACATCATGCATGTCAGAAATTTTTTAAAACATGTCATACCAATGACTTATTGACTTTTTGAGCCTCAATAGAGAGAGAGAGAGAGAGAGCAAAACAAGGCTGAAAAAAGCTAGGAATAGAGGGAATATCTAAAAGCCGACTCAATTTCTATTTGAGTTAATTCTCAGAGAATTGATGAATGCAGTCAGCTTTTGAGGTCATATATCTTCCACCTCAATCCATACATCTGAGGGTCGAACTATTTACTTCACATAAAAAAGAAGAGGGGTAATTTCATATGAACAGAAAAAGAGAGAGGCTTATTGTCAAATTGATCTTACAAAGTGCATGATTGGATAGCTCATTCAGACGAAAGAATTCCTTTCTATTACACATCTCGAATGTGAGTTCATATCATTACAAGGGCACAGAACAAGGATCTACAATTGCAAATTATAGTTTCTGATAAGGCAGAAGCCTGCCCTAACTTACCAACTTATGGCTTTTAGTACATAGAATTGTACTGAATTTTTTTTAAATAACTTTAAATATACATGACTATATGTTTTTGAGGATTTGAAGTATTCAACATTAGAACTATTGGCAACAAATCTAAGTTTGTAAAATAAAAGTCAAATCTCAAAGGTCAAAAGTTACAGGGAAGGTAAAAAACTGAAGCCAAAAATTAACAACAGCTCCCAAAGACAGTCTGTGAAATGAGCTCTAGTCTATAATGGGAGTTATCGGTTGTCTTTTAATAAGCCAAAGTGTGAGGTTCAACCTCCCTCAAACAGGCATACTTCTTCCAAATACCAACTGTTGAAGTATTATCCCACATCGATTGACAACGGATCGTAAATGCTCTTTATATTCATGTGGTCTCCTCCACCTATCAGCTTAAGCTTTTGGGTTGGACTTTCTAACATGGTATCAGAGCTAGTATTATCCCTTTCGCGAATGAGCGTAGTCAAAATGTCACATGCCGGATTGACAACGGGTCCTAAATATTTCTTTTATACACCCAAAAGTGATTGAATTTAATTGAAACTATATTTCACATAACTACAAGAAGCACAAGGTAAACTTTATCTGTATATAAAATAGTCATTCTGATCAACTTTCTGTTAACATGATTATTCTGTCAAACAGAGCTAACATGTCTCATTTTTCCAATGCATATTCCTGTATGACAGTATAAAAATTTTCAAAATTGAGTCTTCACTGTAAACTGGTTTATACCAAATAATTCTCAAAATTTAAAGACATCCCCTCAGTTCAAAGACAATGTTCAGCTTATTGCTCTATAAATCAGTTCAAGATCACAGTTCACTACATGCCTCTTCCTAGTGGACAAGACCCCAAGAAATGAATGTATTTGTTCCCAAAATGGTAAAAGGAAAAGCATGCAGTTTTGAGATTTTTTGAGTCTAAGGTGTTTTTCTGCTGTCCCACAAGCAGCACACAAGAGAAAGCCAGAGCACAATAGGAGACTTTCAGGTCCCAAGCATCACAAAGGCTCGAAGAATAAATGCAAGTTGAGAAAATACAAATGATCTCATAGTTGGACCAGTTAAGTCGAATTGTTGTGTGTTACCTTGCAAACATATTTTCATATTTATGACTAACATGCTTCACGAATAGTTTGTCTTACAGAATAGGGACCATGTGACTTTAAATGTTGCTTAATTCAATTTTCCTATAAGAAGACTGCCCATAGGGTGATTCGTTAAAGAAATTCCATCATAAGTGAAGATGATAAATCTGACAATACAACAATAATTCACAAATCGTCACAATCACAAAAGAAATAAAGATCTTAACGTGGTAACCTCTTTGAGCATGAAAGAGGATAGGCAATTGAGATGATTAAGTACATGATGTCTGAAAAGATGAAGATACAAATAATCATGTTTATTGAGCTTACAAAAAATGAAAACATTACCTTGTGGGAAGTATTTGGGTCTTGGAGCAACCAGAGAAGACAGTCAATAGCCATGTATTGC